CACGCGGAAATTTAAGGCAACAAAATAATCTAAATAATAATTTAAACGCACGTGTCTATGGTGCTGGGAGGCTTTAGGCATTGGATTTACAAAGCAAAGAAATTATTCAAATTATTAATAACATAATTAGGGTTTACATTTTTATGATTCCAAATTCAAATGTAAACAGACACAGCGTGAGTCAGTCTCGATGTGTAATTTTAACATCATATCATATCCCTTTGGCATGTACACGTGTGAGTGTGTGCACGTATGGCCATGCGCGTCTGCCAGTCATTTCGGTCAGTCGACCCATAACAACTGGATCTGTTCCGTGACCTCCTGTCAGCGAGCCTTTGACACTTCACGTGGCCTCAAAGTGCACCGAGCCTGGAATAAGCACTGTGGTGACGTCACCTCTAACGAGTGGCGAATGACAGCTGGGGCCGTAGTTGTACTTGTGTGTGTGCGTGTGTGTGCGCACACGTATGTCGATTATGGATGTGCGGCCAGGGGAGGCAGGGAAGGCAGAGCCTCACCTGTCACACTCCAATGAAAATAGCTGTTACAAATGTCATTTATATACGTGACATTATCTGTGTCTGAGGGGTTGCGCAATGAGAGTGGAGGCTGAGCTAGTCGCTGACTCCTCGCCTCTCGTCTCTCCGTGCATTTGGAGCGGGGCTCCGCAAAATTTGTTGATTTTGACCATAAAAATTGATTGGAATCATACGGAAGTGGCATAACACAGATCAGTGGGAAAATCTTATTTTTTTATTTTGTTACGTTTTTACTTTTCGTAACAGCTATTTTCATTTGAGTATGGCAGGTGAGGCTGTGGCTCCTCCGCCTCCCCTGACCGCACGCCCCTGATGTACATGCATGGCGGGGAGCGGTAGTGTAGCGGTTAGCGCGCTGTGCTACGAACCCACCTCCCCGAGTTCGATTCCCGTTCACGGCCAATACCAGTGACGATTATCTGAACCGGTTCTGGGCCTCCCCTAGGTTGACTCTCAGCCTCAAATGACTACCTGGTGCGGTGTGTAAACATCGCCACTGGGGAGATAAAGGTGGCCGGGCGTGGTCGAGGCCATCCACCCACCCCCTCATGTGACGCGTCCGGCCTTCATAGGTGCTCGCTAGCAGCACTTTCCTCAAAAGTCTGCTCAGGCTATCGGGGGGAACTTTGTCTTCATCCATGTATGTATTGGCAACAGTGAAGCAGTGGATTGTACATTTAACTTGTAAGCTCAGTCACTCGGGTTCAATTCCCAATCACAGATTGCACCAGTGTAAAGTGATATCAGAAGCTGCCCTGGACCTTCTTTGGGTCAACTCAGCCTCAAATGAGTCCCTGGTGCAGTATTGCGCACCAGAAACTAAAACAAGCCGTGGATTGTTGTGGCCATGACACTCTCCCACCTTGTGCCGTTCCAGCCTGAACAAGTAAAAACAAACTATGAAACTAGGAACTGTTTTTTTTTGTTATTTTACCCGGTAAGGTCCACTAAACTGTATAGCTCTTTTTTTGCAGAAGGGACCTGGCCACAAATGACAGCTCAGCGAAGTGGCTTATCACGTGGAAATTTAGAGCAGCCAAATACTCTTAAACGCGCGTTGATTCTGAATGTGAAGGGAGAAAACCGGGGGGCCAGGAGAAAAATCTACGTGACAACGGGGGGAGAGAGACACGCAAACTCCAAATATACAGCAGGCGTCAGGGCCGGGATCGAAGCCATGACCTCCTGTATACCAGGCGAGGTAGTTAACATCTCCTAGTCACCGTAACACCCCCACAGTGCTCGCTAAACAGCACTTCTGTCTGCGGGACGAGTGTCTGTCATGTTTATGGTTGCGTACGAACGGATATATTTGGACGTGTGTGGAAAGTGGTAGTGTAGCGGTTAGCGCACTGCGCTACGAACCTGGCGATTCAGGTTCGACTCCCGTTCACGGCCAACACCAGTGACGATTATCTTAACCAGACCTGGGCCTCTCCTCGGTCGACTGAGCCTCAAATGAGTACCTGCTGCGATCTGTTAACATCGCCACTGGGGAGACAAAGGCGGCCAGGCGTGGTGTTGGCCACCCAGCCCTTCGTGTGTCGTGCCGGCCTTCATAGCCGCTCGCTAGCAGCACTTGCCCCAACGGCCTGTTAAGGCTATACGGGGATCTTTTTCTTTGTGTGTGTGTGTGTCCATGTTAATTTCCGCGGAAAAAAAAAACGCGTGCTCAAATCGCGTCCAAAAAGGTTGGGAAGATGCACAGTTATGTGGACAGTTGTTCAATGTTACACGCCTTGGAATTTGAACGTTCAGGAATGTGGGTGTTCAAGTGCAAAAAAAAAACCTCTTTGCCACATGTTTCCTCCACCCCTCCTCCTCCCCACCCAACGCTGCAGCAACATTGACTCTGACTGTCCTGGCAATGCACGTCAGAAGGAACTAGCCCTAGGCAGAAATAGTGGCTGCAGTACGGCAATAACATTGGGTAAAGGCGCAGCCCTGCAATTTCTTGATCGTGCCCCCTGCAGAGGCAACTCAATCTTCAATTAAACTAAACTCTTTATTGTATATAGCTCTTTTTTCCAGAAGGGGCACGGCCACAAATGATAGCTCAACGATGTGGCTTGTCTCGTGGAAATGTAGAGCAGCCAAATACTCGCAAGGAAACGTTGATTCTGAACGTGGAGGGGAAAAAAAACCGTGAGGATCCGGAGGAAAAAACCACGCGACCACGGGGAGAGAGACACGCAAACTCCAAATACACAGCAGACGCCAAGGTCGGGATCGCACCCACGACGTCCTGTACACCAGGCGAGGGAGTTAACATATCCTAGCCACCGTGATGATGATGAGAGAGAGACACGCAAACTCCAAATACACAGCAGGCGCCAGGGTCGGGATCGCACCCACGACGTCCTGTACACCAGGCGAGGGAATTAACATCTCGCCACGGTGCGAAAGAAGTTCAACGCACATGCATACATCACGCTGGGAGCACCCAAACTTTACCCCACCACACACCCCATCCCCTGGGTGCCGAGCGACGAGGCTGTGGCGGACTTGGACCATTGTTTCTAAAGCATCCCTCTTCCAGGGCTAGGCGGATGATTGCAGCATGGGTTTATGATAGACGGCGACGGCTTGGGGAGCCCTTCATCCAGCAGTGGACTGACCATGACAGACGATAATGAATGTGCGTGATTAATATTTACGAAACATACTTTGTGTACATCCGAATACAAAACCTCCTGAAAACAAATGAAGGGGTTCAGCATTGAATTGTATTGCATTTCCAATAACCCCAAAAATCGCATTGATGCTTTGTCTAATGGTGGCTTCAAAAACAAGTCGGGCCTTATGTGAGCACACACGTACGCACAGTGCCTTCTCTAAGCTGCCTGCTGCTCATAAGGAGGTCTTCTGTTAAGTCGATACAATTATTTTGGACTCCCAAAGCCGACACACAATCGCTTTGCCTTGTAAAAGTGACTTAATAACATTAGATTTTTTGTTTATCAGCTTTCTTAAAATCTGGTCAAATGGCACTGTGGCTCAGCTTACAATTGTAAAATTGTACATTCAACTCTGCGTTGGAGGGGGGGGGGGGCCCTCTGAGCCGATCATCCATCATTCGTTCAGGGGTGATGCATTGCTTACCACATTGCGGGAAATCAACAGCGGTCATCCTATGGACAGAATGGCCCCTGCAATTGAAATCATAATTTCCAAAGTCTCTTGGGCAGGGAGAAATGTTGATGCGGTTCTTAACAGAACATATAGGTCATGTGCAGAGTCTAACCGGAGGGGGGGGGGAAAAACATTTGAACTGTTTAATAAATGCATCTCCGATTAGCACGGTTGGCTACGCACGGTGCGAAAGAAGTTCAACATACATCCATGCATCATTGTCTAGACCTCTGACCAGAGCACTCACAATGTACCTAATATCATCCACTTTTCGGAGGTTAAGCAGATTTGAGCCTGGATAGTGGTTGGAATGGGCGACCCCCATGCACACAACAGGTGCTATAGGCTACTGTGGGACTACTCTCGTCAGCAAAGGACAATGCATCAAAATCCATTGTTGTACTGCACTCTGCTCTAATGCCTATGCCCCCCCCCCCCCCCCTGACCAACCCACACTGATGAACGTGGGGAAGTATGGTAGCTCTCGGGGTGCACGTGTTAATTGTTATACAAAAAGCACAAAACAACGTGAACTTCTGGAACCTATGGCCCACAATTGTGAGATTCATTACATCCATTGCAACCACAGTTGAAAGTTGAACTCATGATACAATGTATGGCATTGTTTAGAAATGCTTTCGATGTGACAACCTAGCATTCGAGTAAACTGCAACATTGCTGCACGGCTGAACTATATTCCCTTGACATATAGCATGCACAATTCTGATTAATTTGGCAATTACTAGCAGTATATAGCAATATACGACACAATAAAGTAAGTAATGTAGTTGTGCAATAAACAATAACAATCAACATTACATAAGGCGTATTTGGATGACATAGATCCGTTTAATTCCGCACTTTTAAGTAGTTTCCTTGTTGTTAATGACCAACCAAAAGAATACATTTGGAACTCTCACGGAGTCGTGCAACCTTGCGTGTGTACAAGACGACCCATTGAAGTGGATATCACGGAGCTACCTCGAAGAGCCCTTCAAGTGACCTCTGATCCACACGGCAGGGGGCAGCACTTTCCCACCCTGTCCTTCGCCTAAGAGCGATGCTCACTGCATGACGTTCGGACTTGAACATTTAAATTCAAACCAAATTAAATGCAGAACAATGTTTTATGTCACGCGGGTGTTTTTTGTGTGTTGTCATTGGTGGGACGGGCTGACACCACCGGCTCACTCCACTCGAGAAACCCCCGCGATTACTTACAGGGTGGCTGCCTCGATTTGAGCCCAGGCCCCTTCAGCAGAAACGGCTCAGTGCGCTGACCTCTGGACATTTCAATTGATTGTGACCACAGCAGCAAAGAGCACTCACTTGATGTAGTAGCGCTGGCCGGAGGGAGTGGTGGCGACCTCCCAGCCTGGAGGCAATGGAGGTTCCGCAACTGCAAGCGTCGCTTGCTGAAGCTCACTGCAAGACAGCTGTCTCCCATGCTGCTGCTGATGAAGGTGCTGATGCTGCAAGTGATGCTGCTGCTGCTGATGATGCTGCTGCTGCTGCTGCTGAAAAGGTCCAAATCCTCCGAGTCCTCCCTGAATCTGCTGCAGATTCGCCGGAGAGGAGTGGGAGCGGCTGTGCTGTGGGACAATCCCGGGAGGGAGCGAGGAGGATTGGATCGGCGGCGGCGGCGGCGGCGGACCCGCGTTATGTCCGCCGCCGCACGGAGACGTGGAGTCGGCGCTCGACTGTCTCGAGTGCGAGCCAGAGTCGGGCTCCCTGAAGAAGGACGGAGGGAGTTTCCTGTAGCGCCAGGGCAGCGCGCCTCCCTGGCAGGGCCTGGCCACTGCGCTCACCTGGGGGTTCATCACGGTGTTGAAGAGCGTCTCGAGGTCCGTCTCAGAGTCCCCGCGCACGTGAAGGACCTGCTGCCCCATAGGGCCCAGTTGATGGTCGCCGCCCAGCTCCATGGGTTGGAGAGATTTCGTCGGAGTTTTAGAATGAGCGCACTAAACTAAAAAAAAAAGTTACCAAAGCTGGAATCCCACACGGGACACTTCTGAAAATAACTCCGTAAGGCTTTTTTTATCCTGCGGAGAATATAGTACAACAAAATACGTGGGAAATTAACATCTACAGCGCGGATGTCGCCGTTGCTTTAAGGCAACATGTAAACGATACGATTGCTCTCCGGGTGAGGTTCAGTCGCGTTGGTGAAGAACACTCGACCAGTTGAACACAAAGTTATTTTAGACGGAGCAGCAGCAAGCAAGCAGGCAGACAGGCAGCACCGGCAACAGCAGCTTCCCAAGTTGAACAGCTCTCAGCGTCCAGAGAGCACGAAGTGTTGGCTGCCGGCTTATTGCCGTCCTTGCTCTGGTCGCTCTTCCTTCTCGCTGCCGATTCTCAAGCTCACGGGTTGAACACTCAACAGTGCGTTCTATTCAGGTTCTTGTTCTCGCTGTTGTTGTTGTTGTTGCTGCTGCTGCTGCTGCCGCTCTCGTCTGCTCTTGGCAGCGAGGGTCGTTGACAGCGAGAGAGGGAAACTAAAATAGAAGCTCAGACGGGGAGCGGCGGTAGGCGACAGAGAGAGAGAGAGAAGAGACTGCGAGACGGGGGGGGGGGTGTGCTAAGTTGGAGCTGTGCTAACCCGTGCTGCAATGTGTCCTGTGGTGCGTGGACTGCCACTTTCAGGTCATCAAATCAGCACCAACTCACAAAAGCACCGCCTTCTCATTATGCATGAGCCCATGCTGTAAGGTTGTTTTTTTGTTGTGTTTTAAAGGGACAGCCGCTATCGAACGCAGAGATAATAGGGTACTCCGTTAAAGTTAGATAAAGGGTTTATTTTTTTTAGGACGAACGGCAGTGGTAGACGCAGGGGTTCATTTTTATTAGAGGTTCGAAGTAGGGTTGATGATGGTAAAATTTCGGGTAAGGGATCAGGATTATTTTTATGGTTAGGGGGTCAATTTATGGATCGGTTTGTCGGGGATGAATTGTGGTTAGGGTATAGTGGTAATGTGCAAGTTAGGAGTGTTAAATAGTTTAAGTGAGCAGTCAAAGCGTCTTCCCGACGCGAGTTATTATGGAACATACATTCCACATTCGCACGTCAAGGGCGAGTGTATATATAGATTATGTCACGGTTAACGTCAGTGTGGGGATATAGACAGGGATACACTGAAGGGCTTGGGGAATGGTGAAGCAACAGGGCCGTTGTTGTGCTCTGACTTAGGCGAATGCTGCGAAACGCAAATCCCGTAAAAGATTCACTTCCGAAAAAAACATATTTGCGTACCATTGTAATCGCATACCATGCTGATGTCAGTCACATTCATAAACAAAGCTCCCCCCGAGTAGCCCTCATCAGACTGTTGGGGCAAGTGCTGTTAGCCAACACCCTATGATGGCCGCAAACGGTACACGAGGGGGTGGATGGCCAGCACCACGCCCGACTGTCTTTGTCTCCCCAGCGGCGATGATTTGTACACACCGCACCAGGTTACTCATATTGAAGCTGAGTCGACGTAGGGGGGGGGGGGTGGAGGTTCAGATAATCGTCACCGGTGTTGGTGGCCGTGAGTGGGATTACGAACTCTGGGGTCGACGGGTTCGTGGGGCAGCAGCGAAGCGCTCGCCGCTACTCGCATCGCCGTTCCACGCACAGTCACAAACACGGCCGGGTTCAAGTCTTGACGTCGAATTTCTTTCTCGCCGTACGTAGCAACCCGTGCTGTGTGTACGAACGTGGAACTTCTTTCGCACCGTGCGTAGCCAACCGTGCTGTGTGTATGTATGTATGTATGTGGAACTTCTTTCGCACCGCACGTAGCAACCCGTGCTGTGTGTGTACGAACGTGGAACTTCTTTCGCACCGTGCGTAGCCTACCGTGCTATGTGTATGTATGTGGAACTTCTTTCGCACCGTGCGTAGCCAACCGTGCTATACGGAGGTGCGGGTGAAGGACAACAAACGGAGCGCAACAACAGGCAGCTGCAATGTTACCAAAAGTCAAACGAAACAGGAGCATTATCCAGCGGCACGGCGAATCAGAACCCCCCGTACTCTTTTGCAATGCGTGCATCCCATCAATGAAGCAAAATATGTATATATAAAAAAACAACAACACCCAACACGTTCATCAACAAACAATAGAGCTCCTCGGTTCCGTTTCGAAGTCACACCAGGGGGGAGGGGGCCTTAAAATCGCCGCTTACACCACAGTCCTCTGGAGTCCGTGGCACGGCTTTATTTCAAGCACATTCCATTCATGACGCTCGACTCTCGGAGACCGCTTTTCCTCTGCCTGACTGCGTGGTTGATGGTGGTGGAGGGGTGGGATTGCTAGGAAAGGGCTGTGGCTCGTGTCGTTGGTGGTGGGTGTGGGGAGGGCGAGTTAGGGTGAGGGTTAGTAGGCGTATGAATGCTGGCTTGCACCCAGCAAATTCCAGCAGCAAAGCAACAGGGCCCACTCAGCTCCCTCGCTTGGCTTAATGCGAGGCAGCAGCATTTGGTTAGAGTTGTGCACGGGCTTGTGTGTGTGTGTACGGAGTCTTTTGTGGTCGATGAAACCACAGGGTAATGTGGTGCTGTTGTGTTGTATTATCTGTATTGGCTCTGCAGGCCGCGTGTCAATGTAGTAGTAGTAATGATAATGATCATACGGCGAAACTCGTCTAATTCGCTGTGTAATGTTGGCTGGTGATATTGTCAAAGGCTCTTTTTCCGTGAGATCTACTTCTCTTATCCGCAAAACGTAATGGCAAACCGTAGGATGGATATACTGTTAAACTTCGCTTATCCATGAATCACATGGATCGTGATGTTTAAATATGGTTAATGCATTGCACTATGAACCTGGAATCCTGAGTGGGTAGTGATATCTGCATTGGTACTACAGGCCCCATTTTCACCAAACCGCAATGACCAGTCTGGTGAAGTATTGTCAAACATCCTTACGAACCACGCAACATGGGGAATCCTTCGGCGAGCAGTGGATTAACAAAGGGATCTAATAATAGGGTTTTTTCCCTTTTTTCTGGCAACAAAACAGAAACCTTTTTTTACAAGGATTCATGTCTGCATTAACCACAATACCTGCAGTCAAAATGCAAACAAAAAAACATACTATGATAATATTTGCATTGTCCTTGAAACTGATTGGTCCACACCAATCTAAGTTACGAGTTAGTGAGTATTTTTATTATGAGACCACAACTGCACTCAAGCAAGTATAGTTTGTGGGATGCTGCTCACAATGTAGCAGCGCAGCCGTCGATAAGGGGCCGTCCATAAATGACGTCACGCACCTGGGGAGGGGGGTCAGAAATTTGTGACGATGCGTGACGAGGAGGGGGGGGGGTTTGAGAAATGTGACGTCACATCAAAATGCGCAACTTTAAATAAATATAGACAACACGTTCTACTTAATCAAATAGACTTTTTAATAAATGTTTTCTCCTACAACATCAGACTCCAGCGCCCATTAAATACGCACTACAATGACAACAGTTTAAAGCGATTTGAAGCATGTTTTATATATATGGGGGGGGGGGGGGCAGAGCTTTGTGACGTCATATTTGAGGGGGGGAGATATGACTTTTTGTGACGACCCCTAACATGTGCTGGGTTTGTTGGAGCATACCACATCACCCTGGTCAGTGCGGGTTAGCGACGGGGTCCACCCAAGGCAATTTCCCTGTTACTAGCCACTGATGTTAGTCGTGGCCTGGAATCAAACTTACGTGGTCCGGTTCGTAGCACGGTACCGCTGCTCCACCCAAAAGAAAGTTTTTTTTTTGGGGGGGGGGGTTAGATCCCGTAAATATAACTGTGTCGTTAAACCCGCCACCACCCGACATAGCCAATTAGTAAAGTTTGTCATGTAAACAAAACATGCCAATTCGTTACGAGTACAGTACACCGGTGTGTTGAAGAGTAAACCCACAATTGTAAATGTTGCGGGTTTAACCTTAATAATTGTTCTGTGGCAGGTGTTGGAGGGTTTAACGATACGTTTATATTTACGCGATCAAACACCCCCCCCCCCCCCAAAAAAAAAAACTTATGTTATGGATAATATTGGTCGCAAAAGCTTACGTGACACAGAACGCTATCAATTCTCTAACTCTCTCTCTCGCTCTCTCTTCCTACGAAGTGTCTTCATTCCTACATCTTCATTCCTACATCTAGAATGACGTGATCTCAACTCTGCAACATTCTTTCCCGGTTGGCCGGGTTCTAAAAATAAATAAAAATAAACCCCCCCTAAACATTCCCCTCGTTACTTAAAACTCTGGAGATGAGCATATTTTCAGCGAATCGTGAGATGCGGCCGCATTTAGACGCATCACAGATCCAAATCAGCGGCGGGAAGTTTGGTCAAGCAACCCACACTCAAGCTACCCACACGGACCACAATGACGTGGAGCGGCGCTCATCCATGGAAATTGAAGACGCAATGAGTGGGGGGGGGTCGCGGGAAAAGCGAGTTATGACGACGAAGCAGCAATGGATTTAGAACAACAGAAGAGCACTCGGTGTTGGTAAAGATGCGGCCCCTGAAATCGCTCTGCTCACGCCACTGCTGAAGGAAAGGCATCCACTGGAGGAAGAGCAGTCATTCATTTTTCGAATTCGTAATTTTTTTTAAATATATTTCAAGAGCCTCAATGCAAGGTGGTGCATACAAGACGGTGATGGTCCTTAATAAATAACGTCACAAAAACATATCGATTTAAAGCTTTCGTGACTGCAAGGATTCGTCTTCTTTGGTTCTTTCGGTAAAGTCACGTAGAATGAGAATAAAATAATAAAATAAAATAACACAATAAAATTCTCACGACGTTTCGGCCACAACACAAGTGGCCTTCATCAGGTGAAGGGACTGGACTGTCCAGAGGACAGCGTTGGAGTGGAGCTCTGGACAGTCCAGTCCCTTCACCTGATGAAGGCCACTTGTGTTGTGGCCGAAACGTCGTGAGAATTTTATTGTGTTATTTTATTTTATTATTTTATTCTCATTCTACGTGACTTTACCGAAAGAACCAAAGAAGATGGTCACAAAAACAGTTCTTGGTGATTCGCATGGCCTAATCTTCCACGCTGGAGTAGCCCACACTCTTACCCCACCACACACGGCCTGCTCTTCGATTGAGGATATTCACGTTTACACTGCTGGACGTACAGAGGGTGTGCGATTTGAAAAATATCGCCCAACTGTTTCAGTTGCCCCACCGGGAGAAAGAACCTGGATCTTCCGATACATGAATAATCATCACGTGAACTCCGCTTCTGCGGCCGTCTGGAACGCTCTTCCGTCAGATATGCCACAGGAGCTATGCACTTTTACGTACAGGTTTAAAACTCATTTATTTAGAACTGCTTTTTGTGTTTAGTTGGTTGTCCTTCCCCCGCACTACCGATTTGCACGGGTGACCACTACGTACGGTGCGAAAGAAGTTCAACATACACCACGGCAACATTCCCTCTGTACACCACCACTGCACGAAAATTCCAACGGTATTGTGATGCATCGCCGTTATAACAAACAAATAAACGAATGAATGGACAATAAAGGTTGTGTTGCCTGTGCGACTGAGATCCAGGCCAAGGGAGGGCTATTTGCTCAGTCGCTCTCACCACCACCCCACCCCCCGCCGCCACTAACC